AAAAAAAGCCTCAACAGGGGTATTTTGGGAAATGTGTCACATGGGGCGAGGGACCACTGCGCAGTGCGCTTTCGTGTTGCTTGCTTTTGTGCCACCTTCCCGCGCTAACTATTTTTCACGTAGGTTGTAAATTTGTTGCTTTCTTCTGTGTACATTTACAAAAGTACCCTTTAAAAAAGGGGAAAATATTTATTTGCTTTTGAATTGTTCAATATTTACTGCTTTTGCATAATTATAGTGCTATTTCTATTTTTCACGCTAATAGGAAAAAAACTAATCAAATTATTTACTCTGAAGAAATTAGAAACTACACAATGGCCCCTATTATTCCTTATTTAATAAATGAACAATTAATCATACGAAAAATTGGGTTGATATTTTAAAAATAATGATATATGAGAAAAAAAAAATATACACCTATGTCAAAATATTTTTTTTTAATAATTTATAATTTAATTGGTTTTTAAATACAAATGATTATTATTTAGTTGTACGTCATCTCGTAAAATACTCGTGAAAGTATTTAGATTTTTATTGAGAGGCTTATAATTAAGGGAGATTTTACGGTCCCGTTGCAGAACCATTCTGTCGAGGTTTGTAACCGTTAGATCAACTATCCACGATGAGTATATGACGATCTAACGATTACAAATCTCGACAGAATAGTTCCGTAACAGAACTTAGCATATCTCATTAATTAATTTTACTAAATTAACTAATAAATATCTTGTAAGTTTGGTGTACCTTTCAAACCGTACCCCCCATTACTTTATATTAAATACCTACGCAACACATTTCTCCGTAATCCGTTACAGCTTTACACTCCGCCGCTCCAAATTCCGTCCGCCGCCGCGATGGGCTCGAAGACTAGAATCTCAGCCGCCAACTCGGCCACCGGGAGGCCGAGGAAAATATCGAACAGAATCCCCACGGCGACGCCTCAACTCCGCCGCCGTGGGCCCGCGCGTTGTGCCGCCGACGGCGCGGTGGTTTCCGACAAGCTGGAGACCCTCAGAGACCTCATCCGTTCGCAGGACGCCGGAACAAATCCCGACGAGCTGTTCCGGGAAGCCGCCGACTACATCGTGCGCCTGAAAACTCAGGTCTTTGTTCTGCAGAAATTGGTCGGATTTTACGGTTCACAATCTCAGAAAATTTGAGATTTCGCGTAGTTGTTAAAAAATGATGAATAAATGTTGCCGTATTTTTTCTTCTTTTTTTTATTTTTATTTTTTTGCAAGAAATTTTTGTCGTCTCTTATGAAAATTAATTATATCGCACAAATAATTAATTTTAGTTTGTTGATTTGCGTATATTTTGTTGATTTTCATTTCACACTCTCAGGAAAATAATAATTGTCCATAATGTTGATCGAAATATTTAATTCGTTGGTTGTAGGTGTAAGCAAAACCGAGCCGATTTTATTGTTAGTACATGAAATTTTTCGATGGAATTTTAGTTATATATTCTCGATTTTTTTGGCTCAGCCCGGTTCGCACATATTGTACTTAATGCATAGAGAAATCAAAGAACCCAACCCAAATGCATTGATAAATCGAAGAACTAAACCGAACCATGCAATTCAATGCATTTCGATTTGGTTATATTTAGCATAAACAAATTTGGGTTCGTGTCGGGTCGATTTTCTTGTGTATTTGTGGTGCGATTTGATTTGGAAGTTTCTCAATTTTCGATTTTTTTAGCTTTTTACGCTCGGTACAATTTTGCACTGCAGAACTGAATTAGACCGTTACTCATTTCAAGTTGGTTGGATGTTGATTAAAAATTATGAAGATATAAATTAATAGGATCGTGACTTATATTATAAAAATGTCATATTCATATTAATACGTAGTTAATCATTTAAATTAAATATTGTTTAAACCCATAGCAAGATACCAAACACAACATTAATATCAAATCTTTAGATAGTACTATTAATTGAAAGTGGTACTCAGTGTTGCAATAATCAAATATTGACAACAATTTATGTCAAACAATAAAACAACTATCTTCTGTACATAATATTCTGCAAATGAAAAACTTATAATTGTCACAGATTTATTACACATGTATGTTTGTAATTCGGTCATGTGTCAGTTCACCTTTGAGTTAATCAACAAACGCATGAACTAAAAAAATACAACAATCTTTAGTATTTAAATGAATCAATCAACACAAAAGAGATCGATTTGACAAACATTTTGTTTCAATCAAATCCATTTAAATTAATCATGAGATGTCGAATATTTATTTCAACACCGGCACTCGAACTTCAAATTGGTCCTTAAATAACCAAAAGACCCGAAAAACTAAAGGTCGTGGGCAAAGTGCAGAGGGGGTCGAGGAGGAGATACGGGAGAAGGTGGAACGGGTTTTGACCGACGAGGGGTATAAGAATTGGGCGTTGGACCTCCAGGCAAAGGTCGTGGGCGATGTGCAGAAAGGGCCGTCGTGCAAGAATCTCAAGAGCTTCGTCGACTGGATAAAGTACAAGGATCTTGCGTGATTGGTGCACGTTCGATGAAATTCGGAACGACTTCTTGTGTGTGTGTGTGTGTGTGTGTGTGTGTGTGTGTGTTTTATGTGGAAAATGCTTTCAACTGCAACCAGTTTGAGATGAATTATGAATGATTGTTGTTATTCTTGTCTCAAGTTGTTAGTTTTTTTCTCTGTTTGATTCATGAACATTGTTTGTCAATTTGTCATCATGCTTATGAGATGATTCAATAGTTGTTTGTCATCAATGATCTAACAATATTAGTAATTGTTTAATGAATAAAAATCTTTCTTTGGTTTGTACTCTAAACCTCACAAAACTGTAATATGCTACAAGCCTACAGCTAAAATTAAAAAACCCCCACTTACAAAAAAGACCGAGATCGAATTAGAATATTCGGCGTGATTCTGTATTCTCCGGGCGAATGGGCTCCCCTGTAAAAGGATCAAACTTGTATGGCTCGCCGGTAAAAGGGTCGAACATAATCTGAGGTCGAACCAAATTCAAACCAGGTTCTTTCGGGACCTGTCTCAACTCATACGGATAAAGGCTTCTTTCCTCGAGTGAATGTGTGTGTGTTTTGGAGAGTGGACTTCGATCTGACTCTCTTCCGGTTGGTGTTCGACTCGGTGAAGGGTAATTTGAGAAACTTTGCTTGTCCGCGTGGCGTGTTGGAGCCTGGTTTAGCAAAGGAAGGCCCGAGTGTGGCAATGAATAGCTCGTGGCATAAATGTCGGGCCTGCAGGATACAAAGTCGAGTTTTCGTTGTAGAAAACTGAAAAGACTCATCAAACTAGGAAAAAAAAAAAGAAAAAAAAAAACTATCCCCATAGATTCTATTTTTCCAACATTTATCCCTTCCATATGTAGAACATATTTCATAAATCTCAATTCAAATCTACAAAATCATTCACACTGAAGGTATTTTTTCCAATTTTTGACAATTCTCATTTTGTTGCAAGATGAAAACTCAAGGGACCTTTCTGTAATTATCTTATCCTACCAAAATTGCAAATGCCACCCGACTCGTATCTTCTTAAATTGCACAATCAAATTTTTAGTGTCTTTTTTGAGTCACTAAAACAAACCTAGCTTCAGTTGAGCGTGGAGACACATGATGCGAGATTCTGAAAAGACTCGACCCGCTTATTGTATTTTCGGCAACTCTCGAGAAAATGTCCAGTCTCTGGTTCGATCTCGATTTCTCGACCAGATACTACAATGGATAAGAATATTTTAATGAAAAGTTCAGTCGGAATATAAAACAGGCACTTGTAAGCAATACGGGTTACATACTTTAGAAATCAATCCGTCTAAATATTCTCCCTTATTCGGCAAAGAAGCTCCAGATAACATGAACTGCGAAAAAACGGATAAATCATTGAAATGTTAAGACTCATTGAATGCATCATATTTTTAATATAAATCAGAAGTAACAAATTATATCCGACAGAACCTGGTCAAGAACAGATATGGCGTTAGGCTCGGGTATTTCACTAAGGCTGCATAAACTTCTGACATCAATCTGTAAAAAAAAATGTAAAACGCAAACTCAACTTAAGCCTGGAACCATCGGTTAAAAAGTAAGCAATCCACCAAATAATCATTCTACTCTATCATCCCAAGTGTAGATAGATGTTTTGTTCTAACTTCTAAGATTTCTTCACTTGGAAGCAACCAGGATAACAAATTATCGAGTCAACCTCAACGAGTTCGTGAAGAGTATAAAGAAACAATAGCATTTAGGTATCCACATTGTAAGATGATATAAAAATAGAGGAAACAACAAAAGATAAAAAGAAAAAAAAAAAAGGCGCAGTTAATCAGTGAAATGAATAGACTGTCTAGTCTGTAAATCTAAAAGGACAAAAACAAGTTTTCACACGACAATCAATGCAATAGCTTTCTACTAACTCTTGCTCAATACGACTAGAAATACGAGCCCAGTTCACATGTACAGGCTCTAATAATTTAGGACTTTGAGTGTCAGGGTTATCTTTGGTAACCAAATAAGCTAGGTTATAGCTTATTTGGTTAGTTTAAATCTTCCTCTATTCAAATTTCGTTTGGTAGGACGAGCTTTTTAAAAAAGTTTGAGCCTATCTCGTAAGCTTCTTCTTTGTGTAGCTTTTCAAATAAGCTCTTTGAAATTTTTATTTCAGGTAACTTATAGCTAATTTTACTAAACACTTTTATCATATAAGCTAGCTTTTCAGCTATAAGTCATAAGCTATAAGCTCGAAAATCACTTATCAGCTAAAAACTAGCTTATTTGGTAATATTTTCGAAACTTACATCAAAACGAGTTGCAATTCCAAGTCGTAGGATTCGAAGCAAACGCTCTTTAACAGGTAAAGGCAATGCTATTACGGCCTCCTCGTAAGGGTCAGCAGGTTCAATTTCCTGTTGGAGCAGAAAACATAAAAGATCGAATACAACAACAACAACAACAACAACAACAACATAGCCTTTTAGTCCCAAGCAAGTTGGGACATAAAAGATCGAATAATAAAGGAAAAAAGCCAGATAGTAATTTCAAAAATTAAAAATATTACACAGAAATACGGGGCTAGAATATTTACCCTCTGGACCAGAGAACAATGGATATCGGGTTTTGAATGTTTAGGATGATCCTGAACGAAATTAGATTCAGAATTATCAAGACCTCGCTTCTTGTTATTGTCCATAGGTCTTGCGATTTCAACCTGTTTGCAGAAAATAATGGAAAATATTGAATTAGAAGCTCTCTTGTCAAATTATGCTTGTCTTGTAATAATTCAACAGTTCAGGAAAAAAAAATAATAATTGGAGGTCGTTAAATACAGACTTAAAGCTTCTAGAACAATCCAAGTACCTGGAGTTTATACACTGGACCTCCGCTAGGTCCTTGAACTGTCTTCTCATTCAGTTCCTTGATGGCTCTTTCAAGATCCTACACCAAGAACTGAAAAAATTTAAAGAAAGGAACTAAACTAACAAGTCATAAGTTCGGCCGCAAGAAAATGATTTTTTTTTTTATCCATGTCTTTGCAATTTAGATGATATAAAAAAAAAACTGACTATTTTAAAAAAAAAAAAAAGAAAAGGCAAATGTAAACCAACTTACCGATCTCTCAATAAAATGAACAAACCCAACCGCAGAGCTACCGTTTTTCAACACCGCTACTTTCTCAATCTGGAAGATAGGATCGGAATTAAATGATCTAAAAAAATATCGAACACAACATTGACGAAACAACAAATACGAGTGAAAATCGGTTGGACCTTGCCATATGGCTCGAACAGTTGCTTCAAATAGTACTCTTCTGCATTAACAGGTAGGTATCGGACAAATGCTACTTTTATCTGGAGAAGAAAGAAAAGGGGAAAAACATTATCATATGCGGGGAGCTTAGATACACCAACATACTCTAAAAGATATTACAATGCTAAGTACAATGATTATAAACCTTATCATGTTCATTTGGGTCGATTTCATTTTCTTTTTCTGCCCACTGAACATCTGGGTGCAAATTCCCAAGACGAAAATCTGGCTGAGAACACACCCGATGAGCTCGTCTGGCGGCCTGTGATTGAGAATTTTGAAGTAGGCGGGTTCAATTTTCTGTAGAAGATAATTTGATTACATATTTTTATGATCCTCTGCGTTAATTTAGAATACATGACTGTAAACTTGTTGTGCAGGATTTTGTGTTAAGAGTGTGACACAAATCTGTCAGCAGGCCGGTATTGAATTGTTATTTTACAGTATAGTCATCAGCTAGATTTTGAACATCAAATAAACATGCTCGGCTTAGCAATCAAATGGAAATTTAAAGCAGACAAACTAGAAAAGCAGGAGTAGGATTCTTTTACTACAAGAGGAATCTTCTAACACTTATATACTAAATGTAATAAAAAACAACAAAGATAATTCGACTTATATCATAAGTTAAAAATATACAGGGAAGAATAATATCATAAACATTAAAAGCCATGAATACAACCAAATTTTGGAGTAAAATGAGTTTACTAGACCAAGATTATGTGAGTCAACATCAACATCAACATCAACATACCCAGTATTCCCAACTGGTTGGGGTCTGGGGGGTCAGTTGTACGCAGACCTTACCCTTGTAATTATGCAAGGAGGCTGTTTCCGTAGCGACCCAAGGTGCATTGCGTCGTTTGATATTTTTTTTTCTAGAAACTTCACTAATAGAAGAAGCACTAGAATTTAATTGAGCCATTTTGATTTAGTCCATTATTAGCCCTATGCCAGGAGAATTGTCAACAATGACTCTTCCAGCTCCATTTGTTACTGAATAATTTGATTCAAATGTAATCAAATATGTGAGTGTAATCAAATATTTTTGTTACTGAATAATTTGATTCAGATGGATGCAGAGGCTTCATGATAAACGTCCTGGTATTTTATCATTGTTATGTAAGCATTTAATTTGAAGAGTTCCTCAAGTAACAAAAGGAATACAAAAAAAAACAAAGTAAAGTATTTACAGAACTTCAAATAACAGAAATTTATACCAAACTTGCTGTTTAAGACTACTAACAGAAGAGCACGAAAGAAAGCAAATATAACTTACAGGATGGGAGATAAATTTCACAAATGCAAAACCACGATTCACTTGCTTTTGACCTGGTAGAGTGCCTTTAAGCATTGGAAGCTCAATGGTTTCAATGCCGGGGAAAACCTGTAGCACAAGAAACATAAATAAAGGGATACATAGAAAAAAAAAATTCACACGAGTAGAAACTTAATATGAATTTCGATACTAACACAAAAAAACCTGCATGAAACTCACTCGCTCTCACACACAAACAGAAGTAAATTATACCTCGAGTACCATTCTTTCAAATTCTTCAGCACTCCATGCTGAGAAATGGAGAAAAAAAAAACCAATGTCATGAATGTAGGACAATAATATTAGTGTATGTTTCGAAAGAAGCAATATTTGGTTGACATTACAAGAATATTTGGCATTGGCACAAAGTTACTATCTGATAGTACAGAGCACAAGGAAACAAACCTTTGTTGAGGTTCCCAAGGTATAAAGTATCTTGCTCGCTTGATAGACGAACAGCAATCTTCTTCCCCTCCATCTAAACATGAAGACGACAAAACAAGAATCGAACAATATGCTATGTGACGTTAGAGTACAGTGGAATCTAGCAGTTAAAGACAATCAGATGCAAGCATACAAAATTTAAAATAAAACTGCTCAAGATTCAGTTTAACTCCTCTTCGTAAAAGCTTGTAGTATTAATTATCCAATAAATGAATATGCACATATACTTTTATTTGTAGAATTATAAATTCCAATGACGCGTGGACAACCGGCAAATCCTTCCACGATAACAAGTCTGAGCAGCCTTTCAGTACATAGTGCTAATATTATTTTGTTACTTATAACCTTCCAAGAGATATATGAAATTCCCTTAAAAAATGATATTCAGTTAGAATGAGATTAAAGCCCAATAAAATCAATCAATCAATCAACAAGCCGTTAAAAACCCACTAAGTGGGGTCGGCTATATGAATCACATGTCGCCACCATGCTCGACCAAAGAAATTAAGAGAAAGGAAGAATGACACATTTTCAGAGAGGATATAGAAGCTAACGAGTTTCGAGAATTAGATAATTTGTGAAAAATAAATTTCTTTAGGAATTAAAACTATTACTCACCACAGTGCCAGATAATTCCCTCACAGCTCTGGCAGCAGATTCTTTCGTTGTGAACCTAACAAAGCAGAATCCCTATGAAAAAAATCATAAATATAATGGCAGCAGTTAGATGATTATGCCATTATGTCTGTGTATCGGTGCAGTCGCGTGTGTGAAACACCTATTTACATCTTTACGTGGATGAAAACGGGAAAAGGTGGGTAATTAGAGATGATGATCATCATCCAATAGAGACCATGAATTAGCATACTAGTTCACCTTTAAATTGCCTTTCTTGAACCTTGTTGTACGAATTTCCACAATTTCTCCGCAAGTAGAAAATAACTGAGAAAGAGAAAAAATTTCCATATAACACACGTGTAAATTCAAGTTGAACCCTATAAACAATCTCACCGTTAAAAGGACATATAAGAAACAAGAAAATACGAACTTAAAATACAAAAAACGAGTAAACACATAAACAGGAGAGAGACACCAAATCACTGGTCATCCTAGTTGATGCCTATGAGCAGAGATAATTTTTTTAAGTCCATATATATATGCAAAATACAGATAAAAAGCAACTTTAGCAAGATAAACTGAACTATGCCTATTGTGCAAGCAAAGATGCAGCTATAATCATCTCCACATCCCACCATTTCCCAATCTGTTTTTCCTTAATCCAGCTGGCAATGGATCAATCCGTATAAAAATATACAACAATGAACCACTGTTCTTGGGTGATTTGGTTTTGCATATTTCCAGTTTTCTAGTTTCCAACTTTCCACTTTCCCAAACTATAATATACCCACAAAACCAAAACCAGGTAGCCAGAAAAAAAAATAAAAAAAATAAAAAAAAAATAAAAAATATTATTATCGATTCAAGTTTCAGCAATTCATGAAAATCGTGAAGCATTCTAAAATCTGCTTGCCGTTCATGAATACCCAATCAGACAACTGATAAAGACAATGGATCGCTTGTTCAGAAAGTCTCGATCAACAAGACAACTCAAGACAGCCAAGCCAACACAAGACTAAAGCTTATTTATGCTTTTTTCTGTTGCTCCACCATTTTCACGAGCTGTGTTTGTTTCAACAACTCAATTGCATGAACAATAAAAATCAAGCCTCAAGAGCTCTACTCGTTTCAATTAATCATTTGCATTAACAATAAAAATCAAACCTCGCGGAGTTTATCCTCTGAATAGCAATGACGCAACCCACAAACGAACACTTCAGTTCCTTTAGCAACATTTTCTTCTAGCATGGCAAATTTGCAAGTCATCCCGTCAAATGAATTGAACACAGATATGTGAAATAACTAGCAAAAGCATTTCACGGTCAAGAGATTAAAACTTTATATCACTAAATTTCGAGTGGAGCGCGTACGTGGGCTCATAGAATGTTGCTCGGACGGCAGACTCATCCGTACAGATAAACGAGAAAAGTTACCAAGAAGTACTGCAATGCAACATAAAACATCGGATTATAGAAACTAAAAACTATCGCCACGCATGTTTTACAGCACTGATTATGAGCTGAGATTCAATAACGTAGCTCGAATATAAAATGGGTTGGCATATAAACTGAAAAAAGAGAAGCCCAAATGCGCAATCCTCAATCACATATACAATTTCAGCAACCTTACAACACTGCAGATTTTTACATTTTTCTGTTTATGCAACACGCGGGTATTATGATCGAGGCCAGCTCAAATTCAAAAAAAAGGGTATGAGAATATGCACAAAGCTAATACCTTTCGCTGGTTAAATTGGATTTGGAAGGCACGAGGATGATAAGGATATGAATCGTAAACCCTAAATTAGAGTTTTGTTCTTGATAGATTGGGAATTGGCCGAGTAGCAATGACTTTGGGGCGCCATTGGTCGGTTTTGACTTTTGACTGACCGCTGAAACTTTTTGAATTTTTTGATTCAAATTTTTTTTTTGGTACAGAACCTTCCGGTTTTCGGATCCACAGGGGAACCGATTAATCAGGAATCGAGTCGGGTAGGATCACAAAATAATTTAATTCAAATTTTAACTTGAATTTGATACAATCTAATTTATTTTATTTATTAATAGTTAAATAATTAATATCCATTAATTATTCATCACGGCAAATTTTAATTCACTATTTATTCACTCATATATTTCTAATTGAATATATATCAAACAATCCTTCTATCTCTCTTATCTTATATGGAAGAGTTAGAGAGCTTCAAACGCCGACACGTGTCCAATTTCGACCCTTCCTTTGGTCGACACGTGTCCCATTTTATTTACGTTTTTGCCATTTCTTTTGCTTTCAGACCAAAATGCCCCTGCATTTACTCTCATTTTACAGCTGCTGGCCACTCAAATTCTCCTTCTTTCCACTTGCCGTAAAAATTGGGAGAAATTCTGAAAGATGTGATGGCCGTAAAATGCGGTTGACTCCGCCGAATGATGAAATGGCTTAATTCTTACGCAATGAAATTGGTAATAAAAAATCTAAAAGGTTTTCTCTCACTCATTCTCGTTCTCTTCTTCCATCAAACCCCATCCCTCTCCATCTTCTACTCTTTGTACCAAATGTCCAACCGATTTTATTTCCAAAATAATGGTACGGGAGAACAAATTTTAAGAGGAATTAATTATGTCGTCGGCAGCTGGCATCGAACTCTTCTGCGGCTTCGATCTGAGGTGCAATTCACCCTCAGTGTAACCGGACGATGGCCTTCAGAACTTCAATGCGATTGGGGTATTGTACGACCAGCAGGGGTGGGATACGAGGAGCTCCGCCACCTCGACGGACGACGTAGAGATAAATATCAGAACAAGTTGCCTTAAATCATTGATGTCAGGTGAAATGATTGATTGTCAAATTTATTGTTCTTAGCTAACAAATCACATTGAAATTACTATTTCGAATGATCATTGTAATTTTTCTTGTCTGTTGGTTTTTGCATCTAATTGCCAGAATTCTTAGATGGAGTGTGAATTTCTCGGACCAAGGAGGCTATCTTCTTTCTGATGAAGGACCATTGAAGAATCCGAAAATATTGAAGGTCCTAATCTAAACTTATTCTTCAGTCTTATTATATTTAGTTTAATGTAACTTTTTTTTAAAAAAAAAATATAGTGATTGACTCTTAGACTTATATGTGGAGATGGTGCTTAGTGGTGATGCGCGTAGTGCAAGGCAGGTTGTTAAGAATCCTCAACAGCGAGGGAAATGTTGGAAAAATCAGTTGTAAAACTTGGGTTTGACCCGGTTTTGACTGAATTTTTTATGGCTAAATATTTAATTTTAGTTGAATTAAATATTGTATAAAAATTCTACGTTCCGAGTAGATACTCGTGGTATATTTATTTTCTCAAAACTGATTTTCGGTGAGTGAGAAATAAATTGTTAAAGTTAGCCATAAAAGGGCACGTAAAACGTTGGTTGTGGGATTTGAAGGGTCAAGAGTTAAATCCCACATTGGACTCTTAACTGAGTTTAACTCTCTTTATTATAATAAAGAGAGTTGGAGAGGTTACAACAAGCACA